CAGAATGGCAAGTAGTGGGGAATGGCTGGGGGTGCCGACAACACAGCAGACAGTAGCAGGGCTATCAGAGTATAAGGGCTCTACTGGGGGGAGGGTGCCATCTGGGAAGTGGGTATAAAAATTAAAAAAAATTTAAAAAAAGAATGATATAAAAAATGTTCTGTATGAAATACAGAACTCAATAAAAAAAATTTTTTTTTAATGAAAATAAAAATAAATAAATGAAAAAAAGGATCCCCAAAGGGCAAGAAGTGCCCCAAGTTGGAAAGCAGGGCCTGAGTGGTTACAGACTGAACTAAGGTCTACAGCAAGCTGCCCCAAGAAAGCCCAGGAGGTTCATGCTAGTAAGAGCAGAGGGACTGCTCAGGTGGGGTACTCTGTGGCTACGGACAGAAGGGGAGCCTCTGGCAAAGGCTCTGTCTGCAAACCCCAAAGGATCAGTGAGGCCTACACCTTTCTAAGAGCTCAATGTTTCTACATGCCTTCTCCCTCTCCGCCTCATCACTGTTGTAGTTTGAAATGCCCCCACAGGCTACTTGGTTCCCAGCAGGTGCTGCTTTGGGAGGCTATGGAACTTCTTGAACATGGAGCTTTGCTGGCAGACACAAGGCCATAAAGATGGGGTCCTGAGGATCCCAGCTCTCCTCTTCCTAACTGTAGCCATGCTAGAACCAGGTGCTTCACACTCCTGTTGCTCCAGTTGTTCCCACCACCATGACGGACTATGCCATCTCAAACTTTACTGTGAGCCAAAATAAACCTTTGCTCCCTCCGGTTATTTTAGCACAGTGACGGTGATGAAAAAAGTAGGTGATACATCTACCCACATGCTCTAAGCACCTGACCCCAGATGAGTCTGGCCTAGATGACAGAAGGAGCAGGATGGTCCTGCAGTCCATGAATTTGTAGTCTAGCTATAGGGAAGAGAAAGGCCAGGGGTCCACAGACTTAGGTAGACCAAAGATGCCTGGTAGGGTCACGGAACGTAGGACGACATCTGCTCAGAAGAGAAGGGCTTAAAATTAAAGGCAAGTAAAGTGATCCTTCACTCCTATCCCTATTTTACCAAAGGCCAGTGCTGGCCCAGGGACAGGGTCACAGAGAGGGGACGGATTGGACAGCAGGTGGATGGTGTTTGGGGGACTGGTGTGGGTGGGAGCCAGTCGCAGAACTTAATTTCCTTTCCTAAGCCGGTTTCTGGGCAGCCCTTCCCTGCCAAGTTTCTGCCTGAAGCAAATTAAAATGGCAGAGTTATCAAGCCTTGAAGAAAAAAATAGAGGTTATAATGGAACTGCAGCTCAACCTTCCCCGCAGCCGGGCGAGCGCGGAGGCGAAGAACGCACAGCCGCAATTCAATTAGCTGCTGCAAGCGCTGGCAAGAAAAAAAAAAATCACCGTCATTTCATTTCCTCTGATGGTGGCGGCCACCCCGTGCTAAGCAGAAATGCTTCCAGCCCCTGGGGCTGGCTGCCCCGTGCAGGCAGGCAATGGAGAGGGAGGGGAACGGGTGGCTGCTTGTGTTTCTCCCTGCGACCCAGTGCGAGGCTCAGGGAGAACAGGGAGCTCTTTCTTCTCATGCAGTCAGGCTGAAAACCCTCCCCGCTACAGGAGAGTCATGTCAGGCATTTAGCGGCATCGATCCAGCCCGCTTCTGCCTGGCAGGCAGCCAAAAAACTAAGTATTTTTTATTGCTTCGGCTAGGCTAGGAAATATGAATGAAGCTACCTTTAATTGGACTCCAGACTTAACCCCTCTGGGACAGCTTCCAGCCTGTACACCCGGCCCCCTCCCCGCTCTGACACGGCCCTGTCCTTCCTGCCCGAGGCCTCCTCTGTTGACAACCTGTTTTCCAAAGGCTGATTATTTTGGTCTCTACCATCCAACACTGACCACAGCAATGAGCACACAGCACCCCAACTCCCATCCCCCAGCTGCCCAGCCCCCAGATGGCATCGGATTCACTCCCAGTCTATTCTCCAGTATACTCTGGGTGCCCATCTGTTGAGTCCACCCTGCATGGACGTCAGTGAGCACACAGAGCTCAGCACTCACAGGTCCCTGTGGACTCCTAGCAGAAAGCTTTCATCAACAGGGGCACAAAGCCCAGAGTGACCAGGGATGAAGAGGAGGATGCTGGGCTTCAAATACCTACTTCCTGTGGGAGGCCCCAAGCAAGCTAGGTAATTCAGACCTGAATACGGGTTACGAGGGGTCTTCCTACCTGACCAAAGTTGAGAGGCTGGCTGGGCAGGAATAATTTCCATGGTATGCATAAAGAAATAGGCTTAGAGGTCAAGAAACTGCCCAGCATCTCACAAAGCTGAGACTGGAGCTAAGCCTGGTGCAGGTTTGATTCAGCCTTACTTCTATGTAGGCAAACTGCCTCACCAAAAAATGCCACTGTTTGCAGATCAACCCCAAAGCGATCAAAATGGATTTTTAGCTTTAATTATTTCTTTCTTCTGTGCCTAGCCATTTCTGGGTCCAAGCAGAGACCTGGATTTCTGAGCACATAGGCAGGGCTCAGGGAGAGAGCAGACTCACTGATAATGGGAAGTTTGAAAACAGCCTAGGTGGAGGATGGGAAGGGAAGGCAGGTCAGAACGAGGGAGCTGCCCAAGGAAGCTGCCTGCCTGGATGGTTAGTTAACTGCCTGACCTTCCAAGTCCTACTTAACAGGAGGTAATAACCAAAGCCATCCTAACAGATTAGATGGCCCCGGATACAAGCACGACGATGAAGAATAAAAAGCTCTGCTAATCGCTGGAGGATTTTTTTTTTTTTATCCAGACTCCCTGCGCTTATTCAGAAGGCTTATTCACTTGAAACAGAACCTCCGAGTCTCAGTGTGATCAGAAGATTTACAGCAAATCTCCAAGCTGGCAGACATGCAGGCGGCCTGGCCTTAATGCTCGCTTGCTAGCACTTTCTTAAACAGAGTAAGAGCACAGAGCAGGGAGAAACTTCAAGCATTTGAAAGTAAAGAAAATTTAGGATTATGCTGGGGGCAGGCATCTAACCTTCAGGGTGGGTAAGAATTGGGCCCCAGCATGGGGGTCAAACCAGCACTCCAGCTGACCATTTCATATAAGAGGGAGTTAGAGCTCATGTAGCCAAGTTCCTCATTTGAACAACACCTAGAGAAATAACGGGCTTCCCTAACTGAAAGTCACTCTCAACAGATGACAGCAACTCCTACCTCTTTCACTGAATCTAAATAATGACACTGTGATCTGCATATCAGCCCTAAAAGCCAGGTCTCCCAGTCCTGGGCACCCATATACGAACGGGAACCCCTGCCCCCCAGCTTCTGCCCACAGGGCACAACAGAGAACTCTGGAGTAAGTTGTGGGCAATGCAGACTGGTACCAAGCCCACAGCTCTAGGAATGGGTCTCCAGGCTGCCCCGTCCTCCTCCCGTGCCCCTCCTCACCACAGATCTACAGCACCCACTTACCGCACTGGACTCTCTCTCTGGGGAAGGAAGGCCAGGACAGGAAAAAGACAAAAAAAAAAAAAAAAAAAACTAACGCCCCCCCTTACCGCACCTGACCCCTCCCCCGGGGAAGGGAGGGCAAGAAAAGAAAAAAAAAAAAAAAAAAAAAGAAAGGAAAAAGGTCAGTCTCAGCTCAGCTCAGTTGACTTTTGTGATTTGCTAAAACCCCTGGTTGACCTGATGCTCAGTCTGTAGGTGCAACAGAAGCACAGCCCGGTTTGGAAACTGAATACCCCACTTTCAATTCCAGCGGCCTTCTCCCATCAGACCTCAGCACGAACTGGGAAACCTTCGGCCTACTTCTCCCTGATGTCAGAAGGGCCCAAGTTTGCTTCCCAACATACTTTCTAAACTCACAAGCTTTGGAAGGGTCATGCTGTGCACAAAAAGCATAGGATCTGGAAGTTGAGAAAGTTACTGCTTCTGTTTTCTTAGCATCATTTTCTGTTTCTTTGCCAAAAAACTCCTGGAAACTGAAACCTCACATCACACCAGCCCAGCTTATTATAAGCAGCAACTGCCACCATCCCCTCTTCCCCCTTTGACCCATCTACTACGGACAAAAACCTTGGTCTCTGGATACAGCCTGGGCCAGGGCTTGGATGGTGACCCGTCCCCAAAATCCCTTAGTGCCCTAACAGTTTGGAAGGTGTTGGCCATGTGTCCCAGTAAATACTTGAGGGCAGAACACAGAAGCTACCAACTTTAAGGCCCTTTCTCTGACGTCATCCTGAGTCCTCAACTAGCCCTATGTCCTGGATCTTCACAGGAAGGGCTAAAGTGAGGGATTGGAAACTCATTTCCCTGCCGGAGCATGTTCAAGACTCCACTTAAAGATGGTCCACCAACAAACAGGCCTTCTCATTCTAAAACAGGGTTTCCATGTATCCAAGACTGACCTCAAACTTGCAGCCAAAGATGTTTATAAACTTCTAATCCCTCCTGCTCCACCTCCTACGATTGGGATTACAGGCATGAGTCAACAGGCCTGGTTTATGTGGTATTAAGGATTGAACTCTGGGCTCATGCATCCTAGGCAAGCACTTTACCAATTAAGCTACAGCCCAGCTGAACAGTTCTATTCTTTGAGCACCAACTGTGTCCCACCCTGGAAGTTCCTGCACTGCCTGCCTGTACACTTAGGAAAGCACCCAGGAACCTGACCTGTGAGGATGGATAACCCTTGATTTTTCCCTAGGGATAGGATATCAGAAGATAGTAACAACTTGGAGCCCCAACTCTTAAGCTTTTTTAAGAATAAAGGCCCCAATCCAATCAGGAAGGCATCCTGAAGGACAGGGGCTGGGTTAGCCCTAAAGAATGGGCAGGATATGCTGGCTAGGAAGACAGGGGTTGCTCTAAATAAGCAAATTTCTTCCAGGTCAAGTCACTGGTCTAAATCAGGTATTGAAGTATAGCTCATTAAGGAAGGAGGGTTGGTTTCCATGCACCAAGGACTCAACAGAGAGCACCAGGTCTTTGCCTAACTCCTGATGCTAGGGAGACAGCATTTGCTGCTTCCATTCACTGTGGGTCTACAGGTATGTTACCCAGTCCCACCCAGCTCCAGCCCAGCCCAGCCCACTCGAGCCGCACCTCTGTGGTCCAGTTCATGGTGATTCTTCTCATCCTTCACTGCCAGGTGGGCCTGACTGCCCAGGGCGCCAAGTGCCAGCAGCCCAGAGCTGCTCCCCGTCACTGGGGGGATCCCAGGAGGCTGGAGGCCTGATGGGTGGGGTGGCAGCTGGACCGGGGGACCGTGTGTGGCGTGGGAGAGGTGCTGCGCCTGGAGTTGCTGCTGCTGTAATGAAGTCGGTGGTGAGCACAGCTGGGTAGGATAGGGCAGAGGATGGATCGCCTCTGCCCCTCCCCCTCGCTCCTCCACTAGGAAGCGACAGGAAGACTTGCCCCCAGCTTAGTCCACATGCTCCCCTTACTGAACAAAGTCTGTCAGTGGACTGTAACTCGGAGATTTGTGTCTTCAAAGCACCCCCCACCACCCCCACCCCTCCACACACCTCAGCCCCAGTTTCAGGGCAGAGTTTCTCAGGTCTGTTTCTAAGGCTGAGATAAATGATGCATGCATTTAAAACCCACAGTCACCAGGGCTTCCTCTCAATTGAGGGCAATCCATTTTTAAGCTCATGCGCACATGCCTTTGATATCAGCAGCCAGCACCTCCCACCCAAAGCTGGATCGCGGGGGGTGGGGGAAGCCTCCCTAATTCTGAGGAACCCCAAGTCTGGCTTATAGAGTAGAGGCAGGGTGGAACAGAGCAGAGAAGTAACTGCCAGGGCAAGATGAAGAGAGCAGTGGTAGGAGAGCTGGTGTCCTGGGCCATCATGGGAGAGAATGCAGTATTGGGAAGAGCAGAGCCTTTGGAGCCAGATGTGCCGAGATCTGAATCCCAGCTCTGGCACTTACTATCTGTGTGGCCTTGGTCAGGTACTTCAACTCCCTGAGCCTCAAATTTCCTCATCTGCAAAAGGGGGAAGGTAGCACCTACTGCAGAGGCTGGCAGGAAGATGACACAGGGCTCGGGGCATGCAGCTGCAGCTCACTGGGCATCAGGGCAGTAGCCAGCATCTCCTGAGAGTTCTCCCTGGGCTCCCACTGTTCCAGCATCTTCAGTACTCCCAGCTACAGCAACAACCATTCTCCCCTTCGCCCCATGCCTAATCCAGGACCCTGCTGCCCGGTAACTCTTTCCAACACTAGTCTCAAGGCTCCTCTTCCCATTAGGCCCTCATGCCCAAGTTACCAGCTCAGAGGCTTCTGTGATCCCTCAGCAGCCCCAAAAGAATACCCCTCTTATTTGACTACAACTATGCCAAGAACCACTGGTAATGTGGGACGGGTCATGTGGTGCCAATTATTTCTCAGGGATGGAAATGTTTCTTGGGAATGGTTGGAGCCTTGGGCGTGCTTGCTGCCTTCACCCATGCATACTATCTCCTCTCAAATAGTGAAAGAGAAGAGGAGCAACACTATGTGAATGTGTGAATGAATGCCCAGGCATTTTAATATAGCCTCAAATCCTGCCAGCCATCCAGGGAGGCACTGTGTCCACTTTACAGAGGGCAAACTGATACAGGGCACTGGAGTGGGCAGTCCAAGTCCCATCATTACTAAGTGGGATTTGGACTCAAATGTGTCAGTCACCAACATCATCCAAAGAATGTTCCAGAGATATTAAAACAAGAGGAACGGTGGAATGAGATGCCCAGCAAAGATCTGATAAGCCAAGACCTTACCACAGGCTGAGGAAGCTTATGCCTCTCGATGTAACAGCTCTCAACAGACAACAGGACCCTGAGATGGCCCATAAATGTCTGGTCAAGGATTAAAAGCTTCCACATTCCCCTCAACCAAGCTGCATATCACTGGTCTAGTTCTAACCAAAAGTAAAGGCAGTCGAGTACCCTGGCTCCAGAGGTTCCGTTTCTTAGTTCTATGGGTAAGGCTGGCACCCATGGCCTGTGCCGTGGACCACAGTGCATCTCTGAAATGACCTCTGTTGCTAGGTACCCATGGAAGCTGTTGGTGGATACTGGACCCAGAGTAGCCTGACCCTAGATCTGCCAGCAACGTCACAGTGGACCTACGCTATGGGGGCCCTCAGAGATGAATCACGGGGCTTCGGGTAGATCTCTAGTCCTTCCAGCTAAGGGACTTCTCTCAGATGGAAGCCAAATACAGCTCCTCCGCCATTTCTTTTAAAGAAAACTAATTTTTAACATCTTACTATAAAAATAACACATATTCATTGTAAGAAAACACTTTAAAAGTTCTGTTCTTTTAAATTATCTGTCCATCCCACCCTTAGAAGACTCTGTTAGTCTATCTAGATTTTCCTTTATGAGAAAGTTACAATTCTATATGCATTTCACACAAATGGACTCTTGTTACCCATGACCTGATTCAAAAAGTGTTTTGAAGACATCAACTTTCCTTTTGAATAACTACTTAGGATTCTGTGGTGTGGTTAGACCACACAGCTTTATCTGGAATACAGTGTTCCAGGGTCTCCAGTAGGGCCCCTTTGGTTTTAAACATCTTGCTGGGGGGCCCTTTAATTCTGCTGGTGATAGTCACGTAGTAAAATTCCAGAAAGTTCGGGGTGTGGCGACCCACACCTTTAATCCCAGCACTCCGGAGGCAGAGGCAGGCGGATCTCTTGAGTTCCAGGCTAGTCTGGTCTACAGAGTGAGTTCTAGGTCAACTGGGGCTACAAGGAGACCCTGTCTCAAAAAGACATCCCCCCCACCAAAAAAAATTTCCAAAAAGCAAGGGCTGATTGAGGTACTTAAATCCACATTTCATAGTGCAGGACCAGTAAGACCCCTTAAGGAACAGACAAGCGAGTAGTGGGTGGAGGACAACGGCTTTGAAGAAGCGTTTTACTGGCTGCAGATGTGCAAAACTCTCCATGTAAACATAAAGCTACCTGAAGACTGTGTGCAAGGAAAGGTGGGTTGAACAGCTTTAAACACCTGGACTCTCACCCTTCCAGGTAAGGTCTCCTCTGCTACCTAATCATCTACACTCCACTCTGCCCAGTCAAACAGATAACTCTCTCATCCTCTTGGTTGGAAGGATCGCTCCTCTCTGAAGGCTCAGACCTTGGAGCCAGGCAGTCTAAGGTGAACTCTCAGCTCTATCCTTCAGGTGGATGAGTCCCTGGACAAGTCAGCTGACGTCTCTTGGCCTGTTTCCTCATTTGCAAAATAAACCCCAAAGGGAAGCTCATCCTTAGGCTATGCAAACAACATGAAAGTTATTCCATGTAACGTATTCGTGCTCAAACAACAGAGAGCGCTTCAGGTGATCATGCGTCTTTATGCGGCCGTGGCAATTTGTGTGTGAGCAGCCTCTGCGTTATCCATCCAGAACCTTCAAGAGTCCTGGTGCATTTCCTGCACCCATTTTCTGAGTGCATATGCAATATGTTGGAAAAGGTAAGAGCAGAAAGGTGGGGAACCAAGTGTAGAGCACTTTGTCCAAATGTGGCTGTCGCAGCCTCAGAAGCCCAGTTAAGAGTAACAAGAAGCACCAGGCAGGCAGGCAGGTGCCTTGCTTCCCCCAAATTTCCAACAGGTAAATCCACACCGGAAGCTTGAGGCAAAGGCAGTGGCAGCTGTTCCGCCAACAGTGACATTCAAAGCTGCACGTCAAGACTGGCAGGGTGGTTCTCTGCCTTGGTGTCTTGGGTAAGAGTATGCCTGCAACAGAGGGAAGGAAGCCTCCACGCAAAACGGGAATTCCTCGTCTTCACCGCGAAGAGCAGTTGGCTATGCACAACCAGAAACATTCCTGTGGTCTGAAGGCACCATCAATACCCAGCTGACTGTGAACACAAGGACGTCCATAAGGGCCAAGCTACAAGCTCTTCCCGAGTGCCAGCAGATTTCCAGGGCTTGACAGTGGAAGGTCTGCCAGCAGAGGTTTTGGGTGTGTTAGAGCAAAGCAACATTGTCTCCCTGATGGGATCACATAGGTAGGGCCATCATCTATTATCACTGTCCGGGCAGGCAGGCAGACAGGATGTAGCTATCCTCTGGCTATATTTCTAGCCTTCCCAACCCACATTCTGGCTTCAAATTATGATGCACTCAAATATGGTTTTAGTCCGAGTGGGAGGGTGACATTATTTTCAACTGGGAGCTTTCTCAATAGTAGAGAAATGTCATCAATGCCATATAGTCTGAGGTCACCTTTATTGTTCCTCCTAACGCTGGCTCTTCTTCATCCACAGGATGAAAGGAAGTTGATGACTGTTTCTTCTGCCCTTAACCCCTACAGGGGCATGGAACCCAGAACCAAGTACACTCCTGAATACCCTCTTCTCTCTCTTCATCATTTCAAGATAGAATAGAAACACATCAGAGATCATGTCCTCTGGGGCATCCTTGTGCCCTCTGTCCACATGTGTACCTGGTGCCTGTGGCCAGGACTCAGGTATGGCCCTGCCAGAGAGGTTGATGAGAGAACTTTGCACCTCACACTGAATTCATGCCTGGCTAGCTGATTTGATGCTTCACCTCTGAGGTCGATGACTTGGGTTAAGCTTAGGGGAAGTTGTCTAACCACTTCAATTCCAGAGCCAAACAGGCCAAGAGCAGCACCGGAGGAGACAGACAGGCTCCTGCTGCACAAAGAGCGTGTCTTGACTCCCAAGGAAGAAGAGCAGTTCGAGACCCCTGATGGTTCTCTTTCACACAGCTTGGTGGGTTCCAAGACTCCCCACAGAACTGAGCTTTGGGGCTTGGCAGTAGGGATTAGAATTCACAGCTGTCCTTAGTAGCCCCACTTCGGGGCTAGGGGACAAGTGTGAGGGTCGAGCAGCTCCACTAAGCAGCAGTAATGTGCGCCTGCTTCACAGATCTTGCAGAGTCTGGGACAAACTACAACATCCTTCCTTTTTTTCCTCTTTCTTTCACTCAAGGAAAACATCAAGTCAATGCTTCATGTCATTTATTAATTCCCCAGGCAATGACCTGTAGCCAAGGATCCAAGAGCTCTACACCTCCTTGTCAAGGGCTTTGGTCCACCAGAGAGCTCGGTAAAAAGCAAATTCTGGGAATAGTTGATACATAAGCTCACGGGGTCTTGGATCACTGACTTCTGCAAGCTGCTGGCCAAGAATATGACATCTCTTCTCATGAACAAGAATCCTGTCTTCCTTGGGATCCTCCAATAAGGTGAGTTTCAGACATAAAGGCACGCAACAGTCACAGGTCTATAGTAGCTGAGTCTTGCCATCCCCAGAGAGAAGGGAGACCACATCTGAGCCCACCTTTCCCAAGTGAACACGGGACCCCCCCACAGACCAGCTGGGTAATGAGGGGAATTTGGCCAGCAAGCCTGGGTCCCTTTACCTGTCTTTCCTTTATGCTCTCCATACACACCACCTTGACCTTGGGAGCAGCCTTTTTCACCACAAAAGACCCCTGAAAGACTAATTCTCCTGGTGATATCCTCCAGGCTACATCCATGTCCTTTGCCTGATACTGCTAACAGTCCAGTGGGGACCTTGGGCTCCAATTAAATGCCAGATACTGCTAACAGTCCAGTGGGGACCTTGGGCTCCAATTAAATACCAGAAGGCCACAACCAACCAACTGGATAGACAGGTCACAGGAAAGCTATCTAGTCCCTCTCCATCTTTACATCAATGAGGAAACTGAGGCTTGGAGCTTGCTTTGCTTTCTTATCTCAGCAGGCTGGTTCCCCTCTCCTACAGGAGGAGATAAAGAACATGCCCCTTGCTGGAGACCAGTCAAGCACAGCTCCTCAGTACCATCACGCCCCAGCTGTCCGTAACTCCTGCCTTGTGAGGCTCTGTCAGGCGCAGCGATTAGACGGCTGCCTGCCTAATGACAGGGCTATGGCCGCATTCACTCAGAGCCCAAGAAGCAATTACCTTGAAAATGGGGGTCACAGGCCCCACTTGTAGACTTTAATTGAATTCCAATATCTGCCTCGGGCTGCCTTGACCTAACTTGCAGCTTCCTAAATGCTACTTAAAGGAAGTAGAGCTAATCTAAGCAGCGCTTCTTCCCAATGTGACTCTTCTTGAAACTTAAAAAAAAAAAAAAATTCTTTAAGTGGATTCTAATTCCAAAGAGGGGACAGGTAGAGAGGACTCTACTGTAACCCCTATGGGGGTATAAGAACTTGCTCTGGAAACCTTGAGGAGATGGACGCAGATGAGCAGTGCATATCTCACACGTAACTCACTCTACCACCAATGCAGGACACCTGAGGAATAGGATACAGGTTATGCACGGGGCTGCCAAGCAAGTGGGAAAAGCCTGGGTCTTGAGTCTGGCTTGGCTGCTATCTCTGTAAAATAAGGGCATGGGCTAAGCCAGTAGTTCTCAACTGGGGGCCCTTGGCCCTCACAGATATGGGTAACATCTAGGGACATTCTGGGTGTCATAAGTATGTGGGGGAGGGGAGGGAGTACAGGCCAGGGTTGCTGCTGAGCATTCAAAAATGCACAGAGCAAGAGAAATTAGCCTCAAATTTCCAGTGTCAAGAACCCTGGGCTACATAGTCCAGTAAATAAGCCCACACCAATGCTCACGAAAGCAACCCTAATTAAACTCAGTGGGTCATTAACAAAAGTAGGAGGGGGACCTATTGGGAAGAAGAGGTTCAGAGGGAGTGAGAGGAGGTGTTAAGAGGGTAATGAGGGGCCAGCAAGATGGCTCAGTGGGTTAAAGGTACTTGCCATGAAGCCTGACAACCCGAGTTAATCCAAGGGGTTCAACACAATGGAAGGAAACAACTGAATCCTTAAGTTGTCCTCTGACTGCCATGCACATGGACTTGTGCCCATACATATGTACACTAAAGAGATAAATGTGATGGGGGTGAGGGTGTTCAAACTATATTATATGCATGTATGAAATTAGCAGAGAATAATTTTTAAAAATTTGCAAAGAACCTTGTACTAGATGAGGATGCTTCAAACTGTAAAATAACATGGTTTCTCTCAGGGTGTTACTTTCCAGTGCCAAGCCGCTCTTCTCCCACACAGCAGGCAGGGCTAACTCTCCCCACAACAATGCCAGAAATCAGTGCAAGCTGATACTTTCCCCAGTCCCCAGCAGCTCCCACAGGGGTGATGCCAGAAGGGAACCCACTGAACCGCCTTGGTCCAAGTATCAGTGAGCACTGACAGCAGGAAGGAGGGGGTTTGGAGCCACATTTGCCCCCCATCACACTGACTCTGGGCTCCCGGTACTGCTGGGAGGAGCTGGGAAGGCCTAGAGTGATGAACTGCCCAATCTCACCTTTGGCAGGCACAGAGATGAGGCCCTAGACAGAGAAGGGGCCTGCCCAAGGTCACATAGGGAAGAACCGTGACTAAAACACAGGTCTCTAGGCTTCTGTCTCATATAGAAGAGTTGAGTCACCATTTATCCCACTAAGCAGGAGAAAATCCCCAGCCTTCAGTTCCACCTTGAAATGACCACCTCACACAAGACCAGAAAGAGAAATAATGAAGACAAGTATTCCAGAAAAAGCTAGGGCTTAAGGGTTCTCAGCTAACCCCTCCACTGCTTCCTAAACTTAGCCTTCTGAATGATATGGAAAACTTGCGAAGCATAGGTTTTTATAACCAACTCCCTAGACCTAAGAACAGAGCTCTAGGGCCAGTGGTCTGGTTTCAGAAGATCCGTGATGGGGGAAAGCAACTCAGCTGTCTGTGCACGGAGCAACAGGGACTCCATCCACCCTCTTCAATTTAGAGACAAGAGGAAGACAGGTACACTCCAAAGTCACACTGAAAGAATCAGTTCCTGCACTGCTTATTTAAATATCCTTCACCTCACACTAAAGCAATAAGCAGGAGAAAGATGCTGTTTGGATCTAAGAGTTGTGCTCCTGAAGGAAGCCAGGTAGGGAACATGCTCGCTTCACCTCTCCACTAAGGGCTCAGGCCTGCAGTGGGCCTCACAGAGCACTCTGGGATGTTTGCTCTTGTGTCTGGGGTGAGCTGGGACTTCTAGAAGGTTAGAGGGATCCATTTAGGTGTATAGCTGGAATTCATAAGGGCATGTGAGGAGTACTCAGCCATGCAGCCCAGAGCATGGGGCACCAAGACCCCAACCCCAATTCCAAAGCACGGTGCACATTAATATACATCAGAGACGGTTCTGACCTCAGGAGCTCAAAAAAGGACAGCCCGGCCCCAGGGAGGGGAGGCAGCAGGGCACCAATCAGTGAGCCCCATCCGCTTCAAAGGCAGGGGGACCAGACAGTAGGGGATGTCAAAGCTAATGATGCTGGAGGGGGATTTGAGGTATATCTGGTATTCCTTTAGTTTGGGGGCAGGGAAGCAACTGGGGAGCCACCCAGGAGAGAGTCCTAAAAAGATCCAAGCCCTTGGGTTGCTTAGGAAAGCCAGGGTCGGGGGTGCTGGGGCTGCCATTCTTTGAGGCCAGCTAAGGTCAGGTTTCATCTCTGGTCATGGTAAATGAGAGGAATAAAAGGGCTATACACACGGTAAGAGGCAGATTGGGGAGTCCACGTACCCCGATGATGGCGTTCAGCTCCGTCATGGTGACCTGCTTGGCACGTTCCACCGCCTGAGCCACCTGCTGCTGGTGCTGTGGGGAACAAGATGTAATCAGGCATGGCCACCCTCACCATCTTCCATTACAGAGTAGACAGAAAAAGATTCACCTCAACAGACCCGGGACACAGGGATAATGGTGACAGGTGCTGTCACTTCTTTAAAATCTTTCAAATGAACATGTATCACTTTCCAAGGAAAACAGCATTTTAATTGTTTAACATCACAAAGGAGAGATGAGCAACAAAAGATGGGCGTTGGTCAGTAACTCTTTCCAACCTCATGCACAACAAAGCCTTTGTTCTACGCAATATGGATCTAAGCTGGATGTTGCATATTACAAAGTGGTTATTAATTTTCTAAACATGGTACCATCACTGTGATCACATATTCAGGGGACCCTATATTCAGGACATGTTGCTAGAGTAGTTAGTAGTGAATCGTACAGGATGTGTGCAATTGAACATTCAAAGGGCTCAAAAAACATGTACCTGATCTTTAGATTGGGGGGGGGGTAGAAGGAGAAAGTAAAAGCAGCAAAAGAATTCTAAGTGATCTGGACCCCAAGTGTAAGGAGTTATGTAGATTCATCATTGTAACAAATACGCCACCCTGGTGTAGGGAAGGCTAAGGGAAATCTTTGTGCTTTCCACTCAACTTTTGCCAAACCTTAAAACAGCCCTTGAAAAAATAAAGTCTACTAATAAAAAGTTTTTTAAAAAGTTGTGTGCATTCCCTTGAGCCTTAAGGTAGCATGGGCCACACAGAGCTATCTTCCTTACTGGGCTAGAAGCACCCAGGGCATCATATCTACTTCTTAAGATTTATTCAGTTAGACTCTGGCTACTACCTCAGAGACCCAAGACACCACCAGGGAGTTGATATGGTCCTATCCTACCCAAGGGAGTAGAGGGTGGGTCCTGGCCCCGCTTGTGCTGAAATGGGATTGGCCTGACAGAAGTGGGCTCACTGAGGTCAGTCCACCTGTCTGCCCAGCAAGCACCTTGGAACCTCTCCTTGAAGATGTTTTCCTCAAAATGCCCCAGAGCATAGTCCCTGCCTTCAGTGGAGGACTCTCTGAAGGCGTGCTTGAAAGGTGGTGTGACCAGCTCATCACACCTTTGGAGGGCACATTGCACTAGGGGAGGCAGTACCCCACACAACACAGGGTCTGACTTTTGGTACCAACCAGTCTTGCTTGAACCAGATAGGGGGACTGCTTGAACCAGAGACTGGTGATGCTGTGTAGGTGGAACAGAGGACTATTCTTCTAGACAGAGAACTATTTTCCCAGGAAAAGGAGCAAACAGTTCCTGTGATGTGGCCCCTGATCCCAGATCTGTGGAAGAAGGCTTCATAATTCTCAGTCAGTTGGGTTGGTATGATGAACAGGGCTGAACTCAGGCTGCAGTAAAACCCAGCTACCCTGAGCTGCCCTGGATGGAGGAGGACGAAACAGAAGGCTTACCTCTTGTGACAAGAAAGGCATGATCTGGGCTAAAATTGTGTTCAGTCTCTTCGCAATCTCTGTCTGTAACGGCAAAGAGACCACAAATAAATCAAGTCTCTCTCTCTCTCTCTCTCTCTCTCTCTCACACACACACACACATAGCCCCTCAACCTAAGCTCCATCCTTTCTGGCCTCACTCAATTCCCATCTTTAAAGATCTTCCCCCTCCAGCATCCAGGCTGCCCACATTTTGGGGAGCTCCACTGTCTAGCAGAGGTGGTCTGTATGTTTGATTTAGGTCACAGCTCACATCCCCTGGAGAGAATCCCCAGTTAAAGCAAAGCAAAGCAAAGACAAAAACCACTCCACATTCCAGAAAAACCCATGACAAGACTAAAACCCAGTGTGTTGAGAGAGGAACTGCTCTGGCCCAACAGCTCCCTCAACTGAAGGGGTGGCAGGCAAGAGAAGCCTACGAACAAGTGAAGCCTGGGACCAATGACAGGCAACTCTTGGAATTGCTCTTCTTATCTCCCCAGGGCCAGTTTCACATGCAGTGGTATGTGGCTAACTGATGCTCCCTCCCTCACCCCCACTTTTCACTGCTGCCTTTTTATTTTAAAAATGTATTCATTTATTTATTTTTAACCACTGAGCCATCTCTCTAGCCCCACCACTGCCTCTTTCAATAGAAAGCAATAGCTGACCAATCTCACCCTGATATTTGTGCCAACCAGAAACCACACCATTAAGTCTTCAATTTCTAGGGCCTAGTGTAAGAAGGGAATCCAGTAGCTCCAAACACCCTCATAGAAAAGCAGATCAGTTCTCCGCCTGCCCCAGCCATCCAGAAAAGCCCCCATTTAGAAAAACATTAAGTATTTGCAAGCAGGGCCATGTATGACCCACATCTCAGATCAAGAGTGGTGCTAAATGGTTAACTGAGTCCCCGACAGGAAGGCCTGGGACTACTGACAGACAACTCTTGGAATTGCTTTTCTTATCTCGTCTGAATCCTGAGCGCCAGGACTGAGGTCCCAGGGCTGCCTTCAAAGCTTTCAGCAGCACAGAGCAATCTTTCAGACAGAACCATGACAACAGCTTTTTAAAAACCTGTGATCATCTGCATGTCAAATGATTCCGAATGCGAAATCCCTGTGCTTAAGATAAAGACAAAGCGCTCTGAAGCCTCACCAACAAACACTGGCCTTGGAGAATTCCAGGGGCCAGCACCCCCTCCATCCCTGGCCACTAAAGAGAGTGAGTGGAGACAACAGGCCTTTGACAAGAGCCTGATGGGCCTTGGCAGCCCTGTGTTCTGTGGCCACTGCAGCCACAGGAAGCCAGGCTATCCAACCCAGACAGCCTGCCCACTATAGCAAGGGCTCCTGGGTGGAGACTGGGTCATGGTAACAGTGCTCTGCCTGGAGCATCTAGGTCTTCTCAGGAACAGGACCAGTGTTTCCCAGCAGGCACCACTCTGGCAGTTGTAGTGAAACAATTCTTTGTTGTGAAGGACTGCCCCTCAAAACCTAGACCAACTGCATCAGTACGGGTCCCAATTTCTAAGCTTTCTGGGAGCAGCGGACAGTAGGGACCCACATTAGCACAATGGTTTCCCCAACCAGGGGAACCCACATTAGCACAATGGTGGCAGATGGTGACAAGGATGCCATACCTCGAGGTTTCTCAGCCTCACTGGTCAGAAATTCTTTGTATCAGGCTGCACTGTACAGTACAGGATTCTTAGCTGCATCCCCGGCTCTTGAAGCCTACCACTCATGTCACAAGGAACCTTGGAAGATCACTTCCTAATCATTGCCTAAATTTGCCTGGGTAAGCAATAAGAACTGTGTTCTAAACAGGGCCCTCATGCTCTGTTCACTTTCTTCTCGCTGACACTAAGTGGGAAAGGGGGATGAACTATAAGGTCAGGGTCTATTCAGCAAGAGTTCTAGAAACAATAATCAGCTAGCCTGCCTCTCCTCAGAACTGGCACAGAACCACAAGTTCACATGGATGTGACATGTGCCAAGTAAGAACAGAAGGATGTATGAAAAGAAAAGCAAAATACAAACAAATCAGACCTGTGTCTGAGGAAACACAGGTCCAAGGCCTCCTGCCTCAAGTAACTAGAGTAGCAACGACTGGAAAAATAGTATGTGCTCAATAAATGTTTGACAAATAATAATGATGATGCTAGCCTGTCTGCATTATTTTTTTCCTTTGTGTGTGTGTGGGGGGGATACACATGTAGATGTATGTATGTGTGTGTGGAGGCCAGAGGTTGACAACAGGTGTCTTCTTTGATCATGCTCTACCTTATGTTTGTGTGTATGTGTGGTTTTGGTGAGGTTTTGTTTTTTTTTTTTTTGCGGGGCGGGGCTGGGGGGCAGGGTCTCCCTGTAGCCCCAGCTGGCCTGGAGCTCACTATGTAGACCAGGCTGCCCTCGATCTCACAAAGATTGGCCTGCTCCTGTCTCCTGAGTGTTCGGATTAAAGGCATGCATCACCATGCCCGGTCTACCTTATGTTTCGAGCTAGGGTCAAAACGAGGCAGAGCTGGCAAGATTGGCTAGCAGTCAGTGAGACCTTGGGATCCTTCTGTCCTCACGACCCTCCCCGCCCCCCTGGCCAGTGCTGGGGTAGCCAGTGCCCACTGCTGCACCTTGCTTTTACACATTTGCAGAGCGAGCACTTTACCCACTGAGCCATCTCACCACCGACCCCACTATGTTTATTTATAAGACTTTGTACTGCTGAATGTCTGTGACCATGATTCCCGATGTGGGCACCATCTTTGGGAGGGGCTGTGGTGGGCAAAGTGTTGACATAAGGCTGGCAGGGGTGGGGAAGGGCAGTGGCTCAAGCCCTTCACCAAGCAGGGTGAGAGCATATAGTTAAGCCAGGCCAATCACAAGCCAGCTCACTGGGTCTCTGATTACTGTCTGCTCCCCAGAGTCAGGCTCTGATCCCTGCCAACCATTTGGACTACTATAGTTCACAAGGGTTGCGGGGGCCATAACAGGGCTTCTACTTCCTCTAACAGGTCAAGCCAAGGGTCAGGGTTTTGATAGTAAAGGAAGAGAATAAAAAATAAATAAATAAATAAATAAATAAATAAATAAATAAAGTTAGCCTTTCCCACACCTTTAGCAAGGATGTGGCGGACACCAGTTACCCACAGGTGGGATCTTCCTGCAGCGCTGGGTTCAGAGCCCAGCATCCTCTATTAGTAGGAAAAGGGATCCACTGGGATTTTACACGGCCTTGCTCAGGGTCAAAGCCTGACACCCAGGCCACAGGTGACCACAGCTGGATTGCTCAGAAGCCCTGCAGGTGGCTCAGACCAAGTTCCCATTCAGCATCATTCTCCCATGCTATTTCACCTGCCTTCAACACTACAAACATTAACCAAGAACAAGAGTCATCGGAACAACTCCAGAGATAAGAGGTTCCAGAAGCCTGGGGCATTGACTCCCATACTGTCTTTCCTGGGCTCAGGCATGATGGAGAGAGGAGAGGGCACTGTGACTGGCAGGAAGGATTCTAAGAGTTCATAGGCAGCATTTCCAGAGTGCCGGGGGAGTGGAGAGGAGTAAGGGTACATTAGGAGACCCTTGATAACAACTCCAGCTTCCATCATTGGGATTTAGGCTTATTTTATCGTATCCTACTCGCCCAGCACCTGCTGCCCAATATTAGGCCTTCCTTGGTCTCCCCTCAAAACAGAAGCAAGCACTAAGCCTTTCCCACCTTCTACATGGGCTGCCTAAGCCCAAGAATATGATACATCCAAAGACAGACAGGAAAATTGTTTACTAAACAACTTTGGGGGGGGGCTGTGTTAGAGGGAGGGGAGGCAACTGGCCAGACAGAGCCACTCTTAAAAATAAGGATAATAGTAACTGGCCAGACAGTACTCTTAAAAATAAGGATAATCGAGCTGGAGAGATGGCTCAGCGGTTAAGAGCACTGACTGCTCTTGCAGCGGACCAGGGTTCAATTCCCAGAATCCACATGGTGGCTACAAACCATCCTTAACTCCAGTTCCAGGGGAATCCGAAGCCCTCTTCTGACCTCCGCAGCACTGCACAACACAGGCGCACTCACATACATGCAGGCAACACACTCATACACATCAAATAAAAATACTAAATAAAATATATTTTAAAAAAATAAGGATAACAGTAATGGAAAATCAGCACAGCCACCGGCTGCCAGCACTGTGTCAGCTCTAGTAACTCCACAGCATGGCACTTGCTACCAATCTCTATTTTCCAGGTAGGGAAACTGATGCTTAGCAATTAGGCGACTTCACTAAATGACTTCCCACCAAGAAGTCGGATTTCAGCATGTTGAGACAGCTCAAAATGTTTTTGAAAGAAAATCGACCATCCAGGCTAATGATTGACAGCATTTCTGATTAGAACAGCTGTCCAAATACCATTAGATCCAATTCAAACAACCTCTAAGCATCAGTTTCCCCCAAAAAAGGAATAAAAAGAAACTAGATGTGATTCAACAATTAAGAGAAGGCAGAGCAGAGCATATACTGGGTCCGATCTGTTATCAGCGTGGCAGCTGGGGTCCAGCAAGCCCACCTCCGTCCTTCCCTTCCTCCTGAGGGCGCGAGGTTGCTGCCTGTGAGCCAGATCTGCAGATGTACCTGAGAGATGGTAGGAGGGGAAGAAGGCTTGCTTTGGAACTCCAGGAGAAGGTGTTTGGGGAGGCTGTTCTGGCCTTTGAACGTGCTTTTAAAGTATGGTTCAAAGGCAGCGGCTTTGCTGGTGGAAAAACTGCTGCTCACAGGTAACTAATCTCTGAGATGCAGACAGAAGCAGTCAGGGACACGGGCAGAGGTCCCCAAATTCAGAATCTGTGCTACCAACTGGGCGCTAGGAGGAACATCTGCCTGTAGTCTCTGCTGAGATTGTTAGGCAAATAAATGACAGAAAACAAGATAGTGGGGGGCAAGTGTGATTTCCCAAAGAGCAATCTGTTCTGTGTGCCTTAGCAGCTCCCATTTGCAGGCAGGACCTCTAAACATCTGGTTGTAAGCTAAGGGTACTTGAACACTC